CTTCAGTGTTTGTTTACATTAGAGGGCTTGTCTTATATGATTCTTTTTGTCCCTGCTGTCCGAGAAAGTAAAGGGAAAGGAGCTGTGATTTCAGTACCTCTGTTGTAAACTTTGAGGATTAGATACTACACAGTGCCTGCAGTCACAAAGGTAGGAGAGGGATTCTTTTACTGCTTCAGAATAGGTAAATGGTTTCATTTTTGTTGTCTGGACACAAGTGCACTTTAATTTGTCAGGCAAATTGCAACTGAAATCATCACATGAACAGAAAACTAGACAATTTGTTGGAAAAGTTTAGAACAGTTTTTAACACTGACAGCTTGCCTTCCGCGAGGAATGTGTAAGGAGTATGCAGCATGTACATTTTGAAATACATTGAATTACATGTATTTATTGCAATTTTATACTATTAACCAACAACACAGTGAAGATATGTTAGAGGTGAGTTACTAGAGTAATACATGTTAAACATTCAGTGTGTTCTTTGTAACTGGCATCTCAGAATGACTTGTCCATAAGTGCATCATCACCCTTAATCTTCACAGAGATTTAATGTCAGGAAAATGCAAATTACATAATAAATTAAAGAAAAAAATCCACTAAATACCACTACATGTGGATGTAATGAGTGTACAGTAAAGAAGTGGTGGCTTACTTACATATGCTGCATATTCCATGGGGTTTTCATATTTGATGGTGGGATGTATTATTTATTAAATTCATTTATTATAGAACTTGAATTTGCATTTTTTGTTTTTACAATACTAAATGGGTCACATTCAAATATATTTTGTGTGGCACTGAGCTAAGTGTGTAAAATAAATGTAAGTAATATTGTTGCTACTATTATTGTTAGGGATGAGCTCAGGTTCCGCCTGAACCCGTTCCAAACCTATGCTGCTCTAAACATGGCAGAAGCTTTCCCCGAAAACAGAAGAAAACTACTTTGACTGCCAACCAATCAGCTGTGACTGGGAAATTCCCCACCCAAAGCTGCATGTAAGCAAATGGGCGTGGTGCAGGGACATGATTGACCTTATTTGGACGCATAGCTATATTTAGTAAATAACATTTACCTAAAATGGCCATGTGCCCATATAAGGTAAGAGCCATCAGCACAAGCATCCCGCCCCCTTGTTTATGTGCAGCTGCGGGACAGGAAATGCCCCAGCCCGGAACTGATTGGGCAAGTGGCCATGGCACTTCCTTGTTTGTGGGAGCTCTGGTTTGGCCCGAGTTTGGTCCGAACCTGAGCTCATCCCTAATTATTATTTGTTTAACACCTTCTCACCCACCATCTGAATATAAAATGTTCTCCAGCATGATGTCCTATGCTGGGGATACCCTTATTAACACCCTCCTCTTTGACAGCCACCAGCCAACACTTAGTGCAGCTACTATCTTTTCATTCTAGCAGCCACTGACAATGTTGGTTCCGCTAACAATTAGGAAATTATCATTGTTACATAGTGGTCACTTGTAGGCTGGAGGCTACACTGAAAGAAATCTTAAGTCTTCAGCCTGCAGATGAACAGTGCCACCTTCAGACGGCAGTGTTGATCTGCAAAGTAATATGCTTAATGCTGTAATTCAGTTTACAGTATTAAAATAATAATAAGTGAATTAAAACATAGCAAGAATTTTTTTTTAAATGATTTAGGTATGCAAATTAGTCATAGAGATATTGTGCATTAACTGACACCTGCTGATGATAATGTTAAATTTGGCAGGGGAAGCTTGGCATCAATGACCTCTGGACACAAAAGGGTTAATTATTACTTTATAAAAGCTTTTACATTGAAATTTACAAAACGAAACAGATTGCCAGTTTAATAATTGATCAGCTAAAATGCTCCATATTTTGTGATTATATGCAATTATTGTCTGGCATGGAAGTCTTGTGATGCATAAATTCAGCTTACAAATGTAAAAAAAAAATGTCAACTACGGTCTAGCACCCAGGCTATACAAATGACCTAATCTGCTATTAAACAAGTTTTCAAGATTTTAATGTGGTAACATAAAATTACCTAAGATTTGTATTTTATCTTTAAAATATGACTAATTGATTTAGGGCAATAATATAAGAATATTTGTTTAGTGTCATTTGACAGTTTTTCTAAAACAGTACAGACTAATGATTTCAGGACAGCGGTGGAGTGCCAGGGCCCAGTTGCAGCAGCAACTTCTGCAACCCTGGTAGTTCTCATAAAAATGTCATGCATCGGCACTGTATCTGAACATCCCTAGAATACATCTTTATGCATTTTAATGAAAATTCAGGGCTTTATATTACAAAATTGGATTTTACATTATTTTAATTATTCATTATTTAAGTGGTCTTACTTTTAGGAAATACGTCAATGTTATCTAATTTTTATAAAAATTGCATTCTAAAAATCATCTTTGCCTTAAGTAAGGAAAATGTATGCAAACCTGAACAATTCAGAATGAAAAGTGCATAGGCATGTTACCTTCAGTGGAAAATGCAAGTCTAAATGTTCAGTAGATTCAAATATATAGGCAGTTGAAGTTATAAATAAATCCAGACTTTTCCTCTCAAAGTCAAGCTTGTCCCCCAGCCCCTCCAAACCACCAAAATTGAGATTTGCTTATAACTGCAGCAGCTGCTCTGGGTCTATTGTTTATTTTGAAATGCAACTTTCACTGAAGACAACCCCCGCTTATGATTTTTTTCATCAAATGCTCAGTTTTAACTGATCAGGTTTCTTACAAAATTATCCAGGTTTTGTCCAATATAAGGTTTATAAAGAGTTAAAAGTCATTTTCACTACTGCCAATGCATTTGGTTAATATGTGAACCTCTGGGTTTATATGCACCACCTTCTTGAACTCCCTTACTGTTTCTAAAATATGCCTATGTTTTTCCTTGTTGTAAATGATTCATGTCAGGTTTTTAATGGCTTTTCTATCTAATAATAACAAGGAAATTTGCTGTATTTTGGGTTGCAGGACTGTGTTTATAGGCCAGACAAATACTTTAGCGTTTCGTCTATAAAGCATGTTTAAAGCAAGTCCGAATTCACTTTGTTTACTACAATATGATGATAACTTATATGTAATGCCAAAAAAAAAAGAAAATAAATGTTTTCTCTTTGATGTTACCTTTCAGTTCACATATTCAATAGCAATTAGACATGTAAATTTTGTTTCATTTCAAATGGATATTTGTACAAATTTTGTTAAATTCTGACATTTGGATGCCTCCAAATTTCAGAATTTGAACGAGTCCAAATGCGAATTAATCCAAATGGTCCTTTAATAAAAATTCGGATCCATCCAAATTTCATTTAAAACGAAACTACATCAGACATGTGACTGTTCTCTGGCCAATCAGAGGTGGTTTTTGTTTAGCTGTTGGGGGTTGCGTTACAGGCACAGTCATGTGACTTTATTCCAAAACAAAAATTTGGACGTATCCAAAATCAGAATAACGAAACAAGTTAAATTTTGGATCCAAAATCCAAAAAAAATTAAGAAATAAATATCCAAATTGATTCAAATGAAACTAATTTTTGCAGGGTTACATGTCTAATAGCAATCTGTGAACATTAGTGTAGAATTCAGAGAATAAAGTAAACAAGTAAAAGTAAGGGCTGTTCACTTTGCAAAGTGTATGTTCCCATTAAAATGTGAATGTTAGTAAATAAGTGAACACTAGGGGGTCTATTTATAAAGAATTCGCAGGACCCTTCACCCAGCAAATATCTGTGTACATTTGTTTTGGGGGAATAATGCCAAAAACAAATATTCTTGATATATTTTTAGCAGTTCGAATGTAGTATGTTGTAATAATACAATATGGCCACTAGATGGAACTGAGTAGCGCAGGAAATAAGTATTTATTTACTATGCTCAATCAGCTCCATCTAGCGGCCCTAATGTATTATTACAACTTAGAAAAACATATTAAGAACATTTATTTTTGGAATTATTCGCCCCAAAATGGACATTCACAGACATTCGCAGGGTGAAGAGCCCTATGAATTGCTTATAAATAAGCGTTGACTTTAAAAACAAATTAAATAGAATAGAATTTTTGCTAGCGTATGATTGATTGATTGAATGATTGATTGACTGACGTCAACACAGCTTATTTTACCTAATTCACTAAGTTCAGTGAACTGTCAATATACTTAGTGAACATTCTCTATTCCTTTAATAAATGAATCCTGTTGTCTTGTGTACCCAATACAGTCCATTCATGTAATTTAAAGACAAGGCAAACTATTGCTGAAATCCGGTCTTGCTATAATGCACATGGTTATTACACTAGGTACAAAATATAACACAGAATATAATAATGGTATATAAAATACATTTAAAGAGCAACTCCATACAAAACATATTTCTCTGCTTTCCTTAGAATAAAGCAGTGTCCAATGCCCCCCCCCCCATCTAGAAATTCGAACTGTCCATTCATGTAATTTAAAGACAAGGCAAACTATTGCTGAAATCCGGTCTTGCTATAATGCACATGGTTATTACACTAGGTACAAAATATAACACAGAATATAATAATGGTATATAAAATACATTTAAAGAGCAACTCCATACAAAACATATTTCTCTGCTTTCCTTAGAATAAAGCAGTGTCCAATGCCCCCCCCCCAATGAGATAGTCCAAGCTTGCTTTTTAGTCAAGCTGTTGAGCCTATTGAGAATCCATTAGCAGATAGATACAATACTTATGTGACCTGCAAACTCTAGCGGATTCTCCAAATAAACAGCTCAATATAAACACAATGAGCTATGAGTGGAAAGAGACGTCTCTGACTAGCCTCTAGACATTTATAAAGCCCTGGCATGTCAGCAACCCAGCACTACCCAGTTAAAAACAGTAAAATGCATTTATGTGGAGTTGCTCTTTAACCTCTACTATTAGTGTAACAAAATGCAAGCATTTACACTGTGCTAAAGTAACAATCTCGACTTGTTTTTATTATTATTCTTAATAATAATTAAGTTATTATTCTTACAAGTAGTTCGCAGTTATTCTTGAAGGCAAGTCTTGGAGTTTCCTTAGCATAGTGTTGCTGGGGGAAAGTTTCACCATGTCCATCTTCATCTCTAGCCTGAAGGGAAATATAAGGGCCTATTTAGGGACGTGTGACAATAATACCTACAATCATAACAAACTAAAAGCAAAACAGCAAACAGAAAACAAAAGTGAAAAGAAAAATATAATATGTTATACTGCCATAGGAAGACCACTCATACTTTTGGTTAGATCGGGCATGTCATCATCTTTTTAAACATCAAAAAGGAATTTATCCAGCATGCTGTGGGCGCACTGGAAAACATGGAACAATGTGCACAAGGGTCCTTAAAGCTATTCTGTAAATTTTCCAAAACAATGGCAAATACATCTTGATAGGTTAGTTCTGCATGTGTCACTGTTTGAATAATTAGTCCCATGTGAAAAACAGAACAGTACAATTACTTAATTTTTAGAGCCTTCTCCCAAAAAATGTAAGGTATTCAAAATAAGGGGACTGTCAGCAAGGAGTTAACATCATGCTAATAAGCAATTAGAAATAACATATGTAGAGCCCTTAGGCTTTGTGCATATGGGTATTATGTGTTCATCTCTAAAAATGAAAAGGAATGCAGATAAGAAAGCATAATACAGACCATAATTTTAATGTTGATTCTAAAACCACATGTTTATAAGAAATTGCAATATAGTAACAACAGTAAACATGTTCGTCATTAAAAATTAGTGGTAAAATAAGTGAACATCTTAAGATTTCTACGTTTTATTCTGTTGAACTAGGGAATGTTTCCTTCCTACATCTCGTTAAATAATTTAAGGGAATCATTCCAGGACTGTATAAAAACACTTTTTGTCATCATATCAGGCTAGACATGTCAACTGAATTGACAAGAGTAAAATATATAATTACGATATATCACCCCTGACATCTGATAACTACATATATACACTGAATTCAAACAAAAATTAACTTTCAAGGCTAACCATATTAATTTATGACATTGGTGCAATAATTTCAGTTAAAGGATAAACACGTTTGCTACATCTGAGCACAGCAAGCAAATTTGCAAATACAGCCTCGTACTTCTGTCTTTCCGTTTGCTTTGATGCGCTTTCATCACAGACCCAGCCCAGTGTGAACATTGCTCTTTTTTCCTGCAGCTTGTCTGCAGTCTGCATTGTAATTGCCGAAATAGAGTGAGGCCAAGGAAGGCACTTGCTACACACACCTTTTCAATTTACAATATTTAGTGCCAGCTGTCATAGAATATGATTTCTATGTTGCAATGCAATCACTTGAGATCACAAACTGCTAAAAGCCACTGCAAGGCTTTAGCTATAGCATAAAGAACATGTCTTCAGACAAAGACTGACAACCAGTTAGACATCTGTGATTTATTGCATTCTGTTTTACCTGATTCGTTATTGTGAATTAAATTTAATGCTAGGATGGACAAGGCCAAAAATCCAAACTTATGCAAGGGCTTCCTGTTTGTAGAAGTTTGTGTAGGCATCATCATTTATGTCTCTTGGCAGTGAAGACAGTGGGGTTGATTTACTAAAGGCAAATAGGCTGTTCAGTTTGCAAGGGGATTTGTGCTTTACAGGGGAAGAGTCTTCTTTTCTTAGTGAATGAGGTGAAGCTCTGCTGGCTTCTATCATCCAATCATGTGCAAGCAAATATACTATATTTTTTTTCATTTCCTTGGATGTGATTTCTTTGCAAAGAGAAATTTCACCACATTCACTAAGCTAAGGGGAAACTTCACCTGCAATTTGCAAAGTAAACAGCCTATTTGCTTTAAGTAAATCAACTTGTTCTTACAGTGCAGGCTGCAGACAAAATATTTGTAAATAATGTAATGTTTACACTTTCCATGCTTGTTATGTCTTTATCATTTAAAAGAGCTAGCCTTTTTAAGGCCTACAGGCTTTTTTGTTTTAGAAATCTCCCCCAGCCTGTTAAACAAAAAAAAAAGCTACTGCATTTAAAAGCTACTGCATTACTTACCTTCAATCTGGACTTATCCTCCACAGTAAGCTCTGTTTGCCACAAGATGGACTCAATCTTCCAGGTTGAATGATGCCCAGTGTTACTCAATCCAGATGATTGAGGTCATACTTTGAATGCAGAACATCATGGATCCCCTCCCTGTGGAGGCATCACATGGCTCCCTGCATTCACTGTGTAATACTGCAGAGAACAGCACTGGCATCCTCTCACCAGTGATGTTCCCTGCATCATTCAGGACTGCTAATCCTGAAGAAGAGGAGAATAGGAAGAGGACACATCAGCATCATGTAACTGAAGAGTTCAGGCAAGGTAAGTAAAAGAAAAAATAGCAAAACATACAACCTGGGGGCCTTTCAGTGGGAGGAGAGGGGCACTGAGGGTGGAAAATGCAGAACCTGGAGTTATCCTTAAATATCCTGACAAAGGCATGTCACCATGTTGTGACAACTGGTCTGGAAGGTGTAAGAACCACTGTAACCGGATATGCTATGCACAATTGATGTAACAAAACTAGAGACTATTAATCATACACTGAGCAAATGAAGAATAAAAATAAAATGTAGGTGTCTATTTTTTAATGTCAGACTCATTCTACAATTACTTGTGAATAATTTGCTGTTACTATTCACCCTTTAAAAGAGACTTGAAAGCAGCTAGATATGTTCTTCTGGACGTTTGCTGATGAGGTTTGTCTAGAAATATTTGCTAGTCTGAACTGGCACATGCAATGATTTCCTGTTGATACCAGCTATGCCTCACATTTACTGACCAATTACTAAAGATTGGATAAGTATTTGTTGCACCTAATGAGGTCGACTTACTCAAATAGTGCATTTTCACTTCTCTAAGCAAAGCTGCTCTCACTGCAATCATCAATTCATCTACAAAGAAATTTCCTTTAAAAAAAAATCCTCTGGACATGATTGGATGAGCACAGGTTCTTCTTCGGTAAATCACTTACAATGCCTTAATTTGCATTCATTGGCATTTGTTCTCTGCAACATCTGCTGGTAATCTTTATAGATACTGGAGAATGCTTCTGGCAACTGAGCAGGAAAATCCAGTTAGGTAAACGCATCTGGATGTGTCTTAACTTAACAAATAGGCACCCGAGTTTACATCATTCCTTCCGAGCCATAGATAATTTTTTATTTTTCCTGAGGCTGGTTTA